AACAGTTCAGCCCCGTTCGACCCGTTTCGTTGCTTCTTTTTTTCGAACGTTTCCCGAGAACGGTACCTAGGCTCGAACCTCGTTTTGTTTGATGTTGTGATTTGTGTTATTGTGTTATATTACGTGCTAAATTGTTGAACGGGTGAAATACGAGTTAATTTCGTGTCTTGGGTATGTGTTTGTATGAATTATGATAAATTATATGCGTTTTGGATATCAAAGTGATTGCCGTCACTTTGGTCGATATCGAACTGAGTTTCGAGTGGTATTTTTTCGTAGAAATCCTGGAGTTATAGGTACTTGGAGTTGTCCTTGATTTATTAGTTTTGGTTTGAAGTCGTTTCGATGTGTATATCATGAGTTATGAATTTTTCTAAATCGAGCATGCTGCTGAATCGTAATTAATTCATGATAAATCGTGTGATTGTCCGAATGCCATGAAATTTTATATGTGATGTCCTGTTATGTTTTTGTAAGTCGTGTAAAATTTTAAGTCAAAACTCCATCTGTAGTTATTTTAATTTATTAAATCGGTTTCTGGTCAGAATTTTATAAAATTCATTAAAACTCGTACACTTGGAATTTTAATCTGAAACTTTGAGGAGTATTATATTATGTGTTATTATGTGTTGTGTAAAAATTTTAGATTAAAATTCAAAGTGTAGCTATATGAACTGTTAACGTTGGATTTTGACACTACTTTTGCTTTAATTATTTGAAAATGCTCCCGAATGAATTTAGGGCTGAAACTTGGTGAGGTTATGTTTTTTTGTATCCTTTGTGATGTGGTAAAGTTTCAGGTGGATTCGTTTAGTCTAACTCCAGTTCTTGAATTTGGTCTATTTTGTTGTCTTAATGCTCGATTATCTGTTGTTTAGGTTCGGGTTGAATTTTATTGATGATGACATGATTTATGTGTATTATTTGAGGTATATAGTTGTGTTCAGGTCTAGTAGTCACTCCAAAGTACTTAACTCGGTCATGGAATCCATGAGTCACTTAGTCGATATAATTTATGCTAAGTATATGTGCCTTGTGTGTTGTTTTGTATTGGATAGTTAGTTGATAGGCCATCATAATTGTTGTAGGTTCATCGAGATGAAATTATGCCATTATTCCTTCAACCAGGTGTTTAGCTATATCTCGGTATCCAGGTGAGTTTTATTTAAAATGTTATGCCGTAAATGTTATTTATGTTTTTGTTGAAATTGGTATGATCAATGTATGCATGTGAACCTTGTAGCCTATCGATGTGAGCTGTCACGACCGTCGGTACGGTTGTCCCCGTCGATGTAATACGGTGCCCTCGTGTGGCAATCTCCCTAAATCCTAATGAAAGGCCATATCGGACTAAGTCACATGACGTGCCTTCGATATGCGTGTCGAACTAAGTCACATGGCGTGCTTTCGACATGTACTCCTATTGTCTGGTTGACGAGCTAAGTCACATGGGGTGCCCTCGAATAGACCAGCAGTAGCTAATGATAGGTGTGTACATATGAGTAATGAAATTGGTGTTTGTGATTGGAGATGTGACATGTTGATTGATTTATGTTCATGCTGAGACCATACCTTTGATTATTGATTACTGTTTTGTAAATAACGTTTACTGCATAGTGGTGAGCACTATTGTTCCTCTTGTGCTCATCCCCACCTGCTCTTCATTGATGCAGGTTAAGTATGTGTCGGCTGACGAGACAAAAGACGAGTGGTGTTGAGTGGTGGTCTCTAATTGAATGTTGCTTTCGCCTATTGAATTGTCTTGTGATATTATTGCATTTTGTAATAATGAATTTTGGATTATTTAGATTTTAATTATTGTTAAGGAGATTCTCTTTATTTCCTTTTGAGGATTTATGATTGTTTAAAGGAAGAATGATGATTGATGATTGAGAATTGCGATTAATGTTGATTATTGAAAATTGCTTTTGAAAATGAGTAACGCCTCAATCAGTAATGAAATAAATTTTGGAAAATTTATTCTGAATTTCGTCTATTAAAAGTGGGGCGTTACAGAGACACTTGGCGTCAAGGGGAAAACGCATCATCAACCACCCCTTTGACCCAATTTTTACCCTCGGTTTTCACCTCTTTAAAATGACCGTGCGTGTGAATTTCTCCTGGCATTTTCACGCACAAAACCGAGCCTAACTTCAGCAAGAAATAGAGGGAAAATAGTAAGGAAAATATTGTAGAAAAATAGTACAAAAATAGCTAAGGAAGGCGGAAGCACAAGGGAAGTACGCACGTACGCGTTTGAGCTTAGAACACGCACGCACATCATCATACATTCCACATCTAAACTGAAGGAGTGATCAGCAGCAGCACTTACATTATCAGTACAGGAGACAGGGTCGGTCCGGAGGAGTGAATGGAGCTGGTGGTCGCCGGTCCAGTATATGTAAATATGTATATATTTTTGCAGACTGTTGATATGTATATATCTGCCAGATTTTACTTCCGCTGACATTTTCAGACTGCCTACCTAGCGTGTAAATTTTCAGACGACAATCTGAGCTTTTGGGTCAAGTTTTATACAGTATTACGCGCTTGTGTTATAAAAGATAATCTGTTTTTCGTAAATGATCCTAAAACAAAATTTTATAAAGTTAACGGATTTTTAGAAAAGAAATATTTTATGTAGCATCCCGAGATATGTTTCGCAAACTAAAATGTAAACTTTAGAAAAGAATTTGCGAAAATCGCACTCTAATTTTAATAAGCTAGCGGGGTGTTACAAATTGGTATCAGAGCACATTTTTGTGTATCTGAATACATTTAAAGTCGTAAATTTTCAGAAAAGACCCGACCACGCTACACTCACGCCTCGCCGACTATCAGGTAAGTGCTGAGTTACAGTTGATATATTTAAACGAATACTTAAGTCTATGCTCAGTAAGAGGGTATCAGATATTTGACCCTAGAAACCAGTAAGATGCTCGAGTATGTTCAGAACTTAGTCGATTGTCCCAGTTAATTGATAGTACGACTTTAGTATTCTCGGGTTATTAGCGACTCGTCAAGAAATCTGTGTATTTAAAGCAATCAGTCAGTTAATCTCTTATGTTATTTAATCATGTTAAACATTTCAACGTTCAGATGCCTCCTCGTAGAGAACCAGGTCATCAGGAGCTCCCTAAGGCCACAGTAGTCGCACACTTTCGCGACTATCACCCAGAAAAGTTTTCAGGCCAAGGAGATCCTCGTATAGTGGACGAATGGGTTCAGGGCCTTGAAATGATTTTCGAGGTCATGGATTGTCCTGATCGTTATCGTGTAATATGTGCACAAATCCAGCTAACCGGTGATGCCCGACTCTGGTGGAATGCCCATTGGAGCATGCGTCCCGGCGAGAAAGAAGGTTGTACATGGGACCAATTCAAGGAGTTGATCCGCGGAAAGTACTATCATTTGTACTACCGAGAAGATATGAAGCGCCAGTTTTTGGCACTCAGACAGGGTACTCGTTCTGTCGACGAGTACGAAAGAGAGTTCACCCGTCTCAGAACCTTTGTACCTGATCTTGTGGGTACGGAGGCAAAGAGAGCCCACCGTTTCACCGACGGACTTCACCCAGCAGTCCGCCACAACATCGTAGGCCACGCCATCCAGACCTACGCCCGCGCAGTTGCCATTGCACAAGAAGTCGATGCCAGTATCCGACGTGAAGCCGTCCAGACACCAGCCCAGACAGTTGCTCAGCCAGCAGCCAAGCCCAAAGTTGCCCAACCATCAACAAAAAAGAATAAAAGGAAGTTCAAAGGAGGACCAGATGATCGCAGGAACCGCCAAAGACAGAAGACAATACCAGAATGCCTAACCTGCGGGAAACACCACCGTGGAGAATGCCTCGTGGGGAAGAATGTTTGTTTCTTTTGCCGCCAGCCAGGTCACTGTTGGTGTTATATACTTAAGCTTTGCTTTAGTGGATATTACACTTGTTATTCCTTGATTAATGAGAATTATGTTTGGTTAAATAAGTTCCACGTTCTGTTGTTTTGCATGTAGATAAGTGGGTCGTCATCGGGCGTACCGAAGATCACTATATCAGTTACTTGCGAAACAAGAATCGTTGGTTCACAACCTAGATGGAACTGAACAACCCAACGGAACGGTTGTAGTGTCAACCGTACGGTTTGTCTTGACCGATTAGTTGCACTAGTACATTTATGTATTGAACAGGATCCCAGAGAGGGATGTTCGTTTTATACTAATCGTCGTAAACGAACTAGGCCTCAGTTAATTATTGCGTGCTCTTAACCCGTAAGATATTAAATAGGCATGTGCACATAATCGTTGTTGCTTTGATTGTCTGGGTGAGATCAGAGCCGGGTCGACATACTTAATGAATTGGGTAATAACATTGTGTGTTCGATGTGCTATTAGGATATTTATGGTCACCATGTGCGTTAGTATGATGATGTCCCCGAAGTGAGT